TGAGCAAGTAGCTCCCTGGAGACACAAACAGCCCTTTAGAGTATCCTTGATTTAGTGTTATTTGAGTTCAAATGTGAGCTGGGTTCGGACTTCCAGCCTATCAGATTGCGCCCCTTGGCTTATAATGGAAAATAATAAACAGAAGAACAACAACAAGGAGCAAAACCATTTACTGTCACACTCAGGGGTGACATACGTTTAGATCTGTTTTGTATTTATTATTTACAACAGAATTTCTCAGCTTAAGTCCTCTATTAAAACCAAGTGAATTAATCAGGCCTCTTCTCTGGTCTGGGCGTTTTATGCTCAGATAAACTGGAGGGTGACGGGTTTGCTGATTCCCATGATGCACCTCTCCTCCCTCTATAGGCCCAGACCTGACCTCACTGATCTGCTCTGTGGGAGCAAAGACTGGACTCTGGACCTAAGAAAGTAAAGATGGAAACTGACCACAGACACGTGGAGAGAGGATGAGGAGCAGCAGGGTCCAGCAGAGCGTCTTCATCCTGAGAGAGGAGACAGAGGAGAGTCACACACATCCAGAAAGTCCTGAACACAGATCTCTGTTCTGGGACTTTTCCTCCTGCAGAACGGAGCTGCTGCTTTACTAACTTCAGCTTCTGTTACAGGAACTAATCCGTCTGCTTTTTAGGAAAAATGGGTTTTCTGTGACTAGGCTGATGGATTATTGTTGCGATTCACCACATTAAATACATAAATAACCACTGAAATTTTATTTATGATGGAGAATGTCAGAATAATCCTCCAGTTCAACCACATCTGGCTGCTCTTTCTGTTTAAAATGTTTTACTGCTCGACAAAAAAAGCTGAAATTATTTCATCAGATAAAGAAAAAAACAGCAAACAGAAATGGATGAGCTGGTTTTTTAAGAATCTCCAACAAAACACATAAGAATATTGAAAATATATAATGTTGTGATTCTATGTAATCATAAATAAATGTTACTGAATCTAACAGTTTTCAGTCTCAAGTGGCTAAAAATCGTGCTTAAAGCCAGTAAAGCCATTTCTGCTACGCTTTTCATCCAGCTGAAGGTTTTACTTACAAGGCCTCCTATTGGATGAAGAGAACGCCTGTCTGTGATTAGTCTGTCTGTGATTGGTCTGTCTGTGATTGGTCTGTCTGATTGGCCTCTCTGTGATTGGCCGCTGGTTTATTTGCATACAGAGCGGGTAGTTCCAAACTGAGTTGTGCGACGAGGAGTGTGTCCGGAAGTAACTCGACAGTTTTCAACACTCACAGATCTAATAATCGTTCGTGCAGATTTTCACTGCGAGTCGAAGCTGGTGGATCAAAAAATATCACCATTTCTCAGCTTGTTAGACTCCAAACTGCCACGAGTTGGAACTTTAAAACAAAAACTCCGTAAACGTAGCGCTGTCCCGATCCGGCTATTTTCCCTTCCGATCCGATACCGATCTATCAAATCACGTATTCAAATTTAAAGTTATTTATCAACTTACTTCGTTGTCAGACTGATGTTGAACAGGGATTTACTCTGATAACTTAATGGTTCGGACACAGACCTGTGGGTTAGCAGATGCTAATGCTAACGCTAATGCTAGTCTGGGGAGCGAACTTTTTCTCCTGCCTGCCGAAACTAATTTCTTTTGCAAATATCAGCGACCGATCTCGGCCTATCAGAGCACGTATTAAATTTTAAAGTTATTTATCTACTTACTTAGTTGTCAGACTCATGTTGAACAGGGATTTACTCTGATAACAACTTAATGGTTCGGACACATACCGCATACCGGGTGAGCTACCGCTAATACTAGTGTGCGATCGGACTTAT